TCAACATCATACTGCGAGGTCGTAACGTTCAGCACGACCCATTGAAGTCTGGCAGCAAAAAAGCCATGCGTCGCTGCCATGCCTCTAAAATTTCCATCCACCAAGTGCAATCTCTCAATACAGACGGAGGTTGAGGTTGAACACAGAAGGCTGCTTGAGATTTCTTCAGTGGGTTTATACTGTACAAACATTAACACAATTGATTTGAACCTAAATGAAGCTGACATGTTGAGGAGCTTTTGAACATGGAATCAGAAAGGTGTGGCTTTTACTTGTAGTTAGTTCAGTGTGAGCCGTTTGGCGAGTTTGTTTAGGAGACAATCTATAATTACATATGTATATACTGTATATATATATAGATACACGCATATCTGTGCGTGTAGCTGTACCACAGAAGTCAACACTGAACATCTTCTGCTGATCATTGCCAAACATCATGACTGCACTGAAGTTTTCGTTGGCCCAAAAAGCACCAGTCTTCAAGGAAAGTGTGGCACCCGTGAAGCTCCATTGTGATCATGAAGCTCTTGAACATTGTCATCGTGTTGGCTCTCGCATGTGTTCCAGTGCAGAGCGATGAAGTGAAGAACCTCCGGGGAGAGGTAGCGCCGACTGAGTCTGGTTCAGCTGATGTGCCAGCAAAGGAGTCTGATCTTGACAAGGACACAGAATCAGAGGGACCAAGTGATGCCGTTGGGGTTCCAGAAAAAGAGCTGGATGCCACAGTCGAGCAGGGTGACTCAGGTGACTCCACTGAAGGGGCTGTTGCCGAGCCTGACGCTGCCGAAGCAGAGGGCACTGAAGGCGAGGAGATCTGATGGTCCGAAAACAGCGCGTGGGGTGACTTGCCACGATGGCTTGGTTGGTACGGAGGCATTCGCTGCTCCGGCGGCGATACTGCACCCTCTGGCCGTTGAGTGAGCATGTGTAGCGTTGCCCTTACAGTGTCGAGGGGGGTACCTACTTGTAAAGCTTGACGTGGGCCACAGTTGCAACCTTTGACCGTTGGAATGTTTCAGGACATCCTTCGACCCCCCCAACTAAGGGTGGATGAATTGAGGGGCAGGACATTGTATGCTTTAGGTCACAAAAGACCTCCACATTCCTGCATTATGTTCATGAGTCATGAGTCATAGGTATGTCTGTCAACATAATTACTGGAGGTCGTAACGTTTCAGCAAGCCCATGAAGTCTGGCAGCAAAAAAGCCATGCGTCGCTGCCATGCCTCTAAAATTTCCATCCACCAAGTGCAATCTCTCAATACAGACGGAGGTTGAGGTTGAACACAGAAGGCTGCTTGAGATTTCTTCAGTGGGTTTATACTGTACTAACATTAACACAATTGATTTGAACCTAAATGAAGCTGACATGTTGAGGAGCTTTTGAACATGGAATCAGAAAGGTGTGGCTTTTACTTGTAGTTAGTTCAGTGTGAGCCGTTTGGGCGAGTTTGTTTAGGAGACAATCTATAATTACATATGTATATATATATATATGTAATATGTATGTATAGATACACGCATATCTGTGCGTGTAGCTGCACCGCAGAAGTCAACACTGAACATCTTCTGCTGATCACTGCCAAACATCATGACTGCACTGAAGTTTTCGTTGGCCCAAAAAGCACCAGTCTTCAAGGAAAGTGTGACACCCGTGAAGCTCCATTGTGATCATGAAGCTCTTGAACATTGTCATCGTGTTGGCTCTCGCATGTGTTCCAGTGCAGAGCGATGAAGTGAAGAACCTCCGGGGAGAGGTAGCGCCGACTGACGAGTCTGGTTCAGCTGATGTGCCAGCAAAGGAGTCTGATCTCGACAAGGACACAGAATCAGAGGGACCAAGTGATGCCGTTGGGGTTCCAGAAAAAGAGCTGGATGCCACAGTCGAGCAGGGTGACCCAGGTGACTCCACTGAAGGGGCTGTTGCCGAGCCTGACGCTGCCGAAGCAGAGGCTACTGAAGGCGAGGAGGATCTGATGGTCCGAACATGCCGCCGTTGGGTGACTTGCCACGATGGCTGGTACGGAGGCATTCGCTGCTCCGGCGGCCGATACTGCACCCTCTGGCGTTGAGCTGAGCATGTAGCGGTGTCCCTGTACAGTGTCGAGGTACCTACTTGAAAGCTTGACGTGGGCCACATGTTGCAACCTTTGACTGTTTCGACATCCTTCGACCAACTAAGGGGTTGGATGAATTTGAGGGGCAGGACATTGTATGATTTAGGTCACAAAGACCTTCCACATTCCTGCATTATGTCATGAGTCATAGGAGTCATAGGTATGTCTGTCAACATCATACTGCGAGGTCGTAACGTTCAGCACGACCCATTGAAGTCTGGCAGCAAAAAAGCCATGCGTCGCTGCCATGCCTCTAAAATTTCCATCCACCAAGTGCAATCTCTCAATACAGACGGAGGTTGAGGTTGAACACAGAAGGCTGCTTGAGATTGCTTCAGTGGGTTTATACTGTACAAACATTAACACAATTGATTTGAACCTAAATGAAGCTGACATGTTGAGGAGCTTTTGAACATGGAATCAGAAAGGTGTAGCTTTTACTTGTAGTTAGTTCAGTGTGAGCCGTTTGGGCGAGTTTGTTTAGGAGACAATCTATAATTACATATGTATATACTGTATATATTATATATATAATTATATTTATACACAGTATATATATATGTATGTATAGATGCACGCATATCTGTGCGTGTAGCTGCACCGCAGAAGTCAACACTGAACATCTTCTGCTGATCACTGCCAAACATCATGACTGCACTGAAGTTTTCGTTGGCCCAAAAAGCACCAGTCTTCAAGGAAAGTGTGACACCCGTGAAGCTCCATTGTGATCATGAAGCTCTTGAACATTGTCATCGTGTTGGCTCTCGCATGTGTTCCAGTGCAGAGCGATGAAGTGAAGAACCTCCGGGGAGAGGTAGCGCCGACTGAGTCTGGTTCAGCTGATGTGCCAGCAAAGGAGTCTGATCTCGACAAGGACACAGAATCAGAGGGACCAAGTGATGCCGTTGGGGTTCCAGAAAAAGAGCTGGATGCCACAGTCGAGCAGGGTGACTCAGGTGACTCCACTGAAGGGGCTGTTGCCGAGCCTGACGCTGCCGAAGCAGAGGCTACTGAAGGCGAGGAGGATCTGATGGTCCGAACATGCCGCCGTTGGGTGACTTGCCACGATGGCTGGTACGGAGGCATTCGCTGCTCCGGCGGCCGATACTGCACCCTCTGGCGTTGAGCTGAGCATGTAGCGGTGTCCCTGTACAGTGTCGAGGTACCTACTTGAAAGCTTGACGTGGGCCACATGTTGCAACCTTTGACTGTTTCGACATCCTTCGACCAACTAAGGGGTTGGATGAATTTGAGGGGCAGGACATTGTATGATTTAGGTCACAAAGACCTTCCACATTCCTGCATTATGTCATGAGTCATAGGAGTCATAGGTATGTCTGTCAACATCATACTGCGAGGTCGTAACGTTCAGCACGACCCATTGAAGTCTGGCAGCAAAAAAGCCATGCGTCGCTGCCATGCCTCTAAAATTTCCATCCACCAAGTGCAATCTCTCAATACAGACGGAGGTTGAGGTTGAACACAGAAGGCTGCTTGAGATTTCTTCAGTGGGTTTATACTGTACAAACATTAACACAATTGATTTGAACCTAAATGAAGCTGACATGTTGAGGAGCTTTTGAACATGGAATCAGAAAGGTGTAGCTTTTACTTGTAGTTAGTTCAGTGTGAGCCGTTTGGGCGAGTTTGTTTAGGAGACAATCTATAATTACATATGTATATACTGTATATATATTATATATATATAATTATATATATACACAGTATATATATATATGTATGTATAGATGCACGCATATCTGTGCGTGTAGCTGCACCGCAGAAGTCAACACTGAACATCTTCTGCTGATCACTGCCAAACATCATGACTGCACTGAAGTTTTCGTTGGCCCAAAAAGCACCAGTCTTCAAGGAAAGTGTGACACCCGTGAAGCTCCATTGTGATCATGAAGCTCTTGAACATTGTCATCGTGTTGGCTCTCGCATGTGTTCCAGTGCAGAGCGATGAAGTGAAGAACCTCCGGGGAGAGGTAGCGCCGACTGAGTCTGGTTCAGCTGATGTGCCAGCAAAGGAGTCTGATCTCGACAAGGACACAGAATCAGAGGGACCAAGTGATGCCGTTGGGGTTCCAGAAAAAGAGCTGGATGCCACAGTCGAGCAGGGTGACTCAGGTGACTCCACTGAAGGGGCTGTTGCCGAGCCTGACGCTGCCGAAGCAGAGGCTACTGAAGGCGAGGAGGATCTGATGGTCCGAACATGCCGCCGTTGGGTGACTTGCCACGATGGCTGGTACGGAGGCATTCGCTGCTCCGGCGGCCGATACTGCACCCTCTGGCGTTGAGCTGAGCATGTAGCGGTGCCCCTGTACAGTGTCGAGGTACCTACTTGAAAGCTTGACGTGGGCCACATGTTGCAACCTTTGACCTTTGACAGTTTCGACATCCTTCGACCAACTAAGGGGTTGGATGAATTTGAGGGGCAGGACATTGTATGCTTTAGGTCACAAGACCTTCCACATTCCTGCATTATGTCATGAGTCATAGGAGTCATAGGTATGTCTGTCAACATCATACTGCGAGGTCGTAACGTTCAGCACGACCCATTGAAGTCTGGCAGCAAAAAAGCCATGCGTCGCTGCCATGCCTCTAAAATTTCCATCCACCAAGTGCAATCTCTCAATACAGACGGAGGTTGAGGTTGAACACAGAAGGCTGCTTGAGATTTCTTCAGTGGGTTTATACTGTACAAACATTAACACAATTGATTTGAACCTAAATGAAGCTGACATGTTGAGGAGCTTTTGAACATGAATCAGAAAGGTGTGGCTTTTACTTGTAGTTAGTTCAGTGTGAGCCGTTTGGGCGAGTTTGTTTAGGAGACAATCTATAATTACATATGTATATGTATATATATATATATGTATGTATAGATACACGCATATCTGTGCGTGTAGCTGCACCGCAGAAGTCAACACTGAACATCTTCTGCTGATCACTGCCAAACATCATGACTGCACTGAAGTTTTCGTTGGCCCAAAAAGCACCAGTCTTCAAGGAAAGTGTGACACCCGTGAAGCTCCATTGTGATCATGAAGCTCTTGAACATTGTCATCGTGTTGGCTCTCGCATGTGTTCCAGTGCAGAGCGATGAAGTGAAGAACCTCCGGGGAGAGGTAGCGCCGACTGAGTCTGGTTCAGCTGATGTGCCAGCAAAGGAGTCTGATCTCGACAAGGACACAGAATCAGAGGGACCAAGTGATGCCGTTGGGGTTCCAGAAAAAGAGCTGGATGCCACAGTCGAGCAGGGTGACTCAGGTGACTCCACTGAAGGGGCTGTTGCCGAGCCTGACGCTGCCGAAGCAGAGGCTACTGAAGGCGAGGAGGATCTGATGGTCCGAACATGCCGCCGTTGGGTGACTTGCCACGATGGCTGGTACGGAGGCATTCGCTGCTCCGGCGGCCGATACTGCACCCTCTGGCGTTGAGCTGAGCATGTAGCGGTGCCCCTGTACAGTGTCGAGGTACCTACTTGAAAGCTTGACGTGGGCCACATGTTGCAACCTTTGACCTTTGACTGTTTCGACATCCTTCGACCAACTAAGGGGTTGGATGAATTTGAGGGGCAGGACATTGTATGCTTTAGGTCACAAAGACCTTCCACATTCCTGCATTATGTCATGAGTCATAGGAGTCATAGGTATGTCTGTCAACATCATACTGCGAGGTCGTAACGTTCAGCACGACCCATTGAAGTCTGGCAGCAAAAAAGCCATGCGTCGCTGCCATGCCTCTAAAATTTCCATCCACCAAGTGCAATCTCTCAATACAGACGGAGGTTGAGGTTGAACACAGAAGGCTGCTTGAGATTGCTTCAGTGGGTTTATACTGTACAAACATTAACACAATTGATTTGAACCTAAATGAAGCTGACATGTTGAGGAGCTTTTGAACATGCAATCAGAAAGGTGTAGCTTTCACTTGTAGTTAGTTCAGTGTGAGCCGTTTGGGCGAGTTTGTTTAGGAGACAATCTATAATTACATATGTATATACTGTATATATATATATATATTATATAATTATATAAATACACAGTATATATATACACAGTATATATATATACACAGTATATATATATATGTATAGATGCACGCATATCTGTGCGTGTAGCTGCACCGCAGAAGTCAACACTGAACATCTTCTGCTGATCACTGCCAAACATCATGACTGCACTGAAGTTTTCGTTGGCCCAAAAAGCACCAGTCTTCAAGGAAAGTGTGACACCCGTGAAGCTCCATTGTGATCATGAAGCTCTTGAACATTGTCATCGTGTTGGCTCTCGCATGTGTTCCAGTGCAGAGCGATGAAGTGAAGAACCTCCGGGGAGAGGTAGCGCCGACTGAGTCTGGTTCAGCTGATGTGCCAGCAAAGGAGTCTGATCTCGACAAGGACACAGAATCAGAGGGACCAAGTGATGCCGTTGGGGTTCCAGAAAAAGAGCTGGATGCCACAGTCGAGCAGGGTGACTCAGGTGACTCCACTGAAGGGGCTGTTGCCGAGCCTGACGCTGCCGAAGCAGAGGCTACTGAAGGCGAGGAGGATCTGATGGTCCGAACATGCCGCCGTTGGGTGACTTGCCACGATGGCTGGTACGGAGGCATTCGCTGCTCTGGCGGCCGATACTGCACCCTCTGGCGTTGAGCTGAGCATGTAGCGGTGCCCCTGTACAGTGTCGAGGTACCTACTTGAAAGCTTGACGTGGGCCACATGTTGCAACCTTTGACCTTTGACAGTTTCGACATCCTTCGACCAACTAAGGGGTTGGATGAATTTGAGGGGCAGGACATTGTATGCTTTAGGTCACAAAGACCTTCCACATTCCTGCATTATGTCATGAGTCATAGGAGTCATAGGTATGTCTGTCAACATCATACTGCGAGGTCGTAACGTTCAGCACGACCCATTGAAGTCTGGCAGCAAAAAAGCCATGCGTCGCTGCCATGCCTCTAAAATTTCCATCCACCAAGTGCAATCTCTCAATACAGACGGAGGTTGAGGTTGAACACAGAAGGCTGCTTGAGATTTCTTCAGTGGGTTTATACTGTACAAACATTAACACAATTGATTTGAACCTAAATGAAGCTGACATGTTGAGGAGCTTTTGAACATGGAATCAGAAAGGTGTGGCTTTTACTTGTAGTTAGTTCAGTGTGAGCCGTTTGGCGAGTTTGTTTAGGAGACAATCTATAATTACATATGTATATACTGTATATATATATATATATACACAGTATATATATATATATATGTATGTATAGATGCACGCATATCTGTGCGTGTAGCTGCACCGCAGAAGTCAACACTGAACATCTTCTGCTGATCACTGCCAAACATCATGACTGCACTGAAGTTTTCGTTGGCCCAAAAAGCACCAGTCTTCAAGGAAAGTGTGACACCCGTGAAGCTCCATTGTGATCATGAAGCTCTTGAACATTGTCATCGTGTTGGCTCTCGCATGTGTTCCAGTGCAGAGCGATGAAGTGAAGAACCTCCGGGGAGAGGTAGCGCCGACTGAGTCTGGTTCAGCTGATGTGCCAGCAAAGGAGTCTGATCTCGACAAGGACACAGAATCAGAGGGACCAAGTGATGCCGTTGGGGTTCCAGAAAAAGAGCTGGATGCCACAGTCGAGCAGGGTGACTCAGGTGACTCCACTGAAGGGGCTGTTGCCGAGCCTGACGCTGCCGAAGCAGAGGCTACTGAAGGCGAGGAGGATCTGATGGTCCGAACATGCCGCCGTTGGGTGACTTGCCACGATGGCTGGTACGGAGGCATTCGCTGCTCCGGCGGCCGATACTGCACCCTCTGGCGTTGAGCTGAGCATGTAGCGGTGCCCCTGTACAGTGTCGAGGTACCTACTTGAAAGCTTGACGTGGGCCACATGTTGCAACCTTTGACCTTTGACTGTTTCGACATCCTTCGACCAACTAAGGGGTTGGATGAATTTGAGGGGCAGGACATTGTATGCTTTAGGTCACAAAGACCTTCCACATTCCTGCATTATGTCATGAGTCATAGGAGTCATAGGTATGTCTGTCAACATCATACTGCGAGGTCGTAACGTTCAGCACGACCCATTGAAGTCTGGCAGCAAAAAAGCCATGCGTCGCTGCCATGCCTCTAAAATTTCCATCCACCAAGTGCCAGGATTGCCTCATGAGATGTGGTGAATATGCCAAGCAGATGCTTACAGGATGCTCAGGAAATATGGAATTTTAAGCAGCAAAGATGGAATGTTCACCAGCAAAGTTAGGATTGGCACCAAAATCATCCAAAATCAAAATACGGTATTTTTTAATCAGCAAACTTGGGATTTTATCCAGCAGACTAGCCATTTTGAGTGCAGGCGAAAAGCGCCTACCAGTGGCTCAGCGGTGACGAAGCTGGTGTAGGGATGCCATGCTGGGAAGTTTCTGGTGATCTCCATGGCTAGACGTAGACCAACGTAGACGTTGATCTGGTCGAAGCTGGGAAGTGGGAAATATAGAGCTGGGACAACTGATCAAACACATTCAAAAAGTGGCTATTTTTTCAGTGTCTAACATTGCACCATATCTGGTTGGTGGTTTAGCAGATTTTTTTTCTCTTCAATCATAGAAATGGGATGATATCCCCAATGATTGATATCTTTTAGGGGGGTGGCTCAACCACCAGCATCTGGAGGGTATTTGCAACACAACTGGGATTGATAAACTGGAAGCACACACACAATATATATATATGTATATGTATATGTATATGTATATATATATATGTATGTATGTATGTATGTATATATATATATGTACATATATATATATGTATGTATATATGTATGTATGTATATATATATGTTATATGAATTTGTTTCATAACTTCATGACCAGTTTTTCACAACTTTGTCATCGCAGCAATTGCCAGTTGTCGCAACAGCTATGAAGCATTGTCAAGTCTGGTCTCTAGCAAGTCAGATGACCGTGTCATATCGTACATATTAGTCCGTCCATCTATATATCCCATTGTGAAGTAGCATTTTTTTGAGCTGGCAGGGTCTATGTTAGTTGGGGGGATGATATATCCCCAGAATATCCCCATAATCCCTGAAAAATCTCCCTAGGCCCGACTCACGTGGGAGCGCTGCTCGACCTGAAACCCTAGTGGCAGTGGGAGGATCCACCCTAAGGTGGCAACGGGTGAGAAAAACCAGTTGTAAATGGGAAAGCCGCCGCTTCGGGGACTGATTTACCGATCCTCCAGGAGAATCCTCCTACCCCAAAAAGTGATCCAAGTCATTCGATGAAGTTACTATAGCACTGAAACAACCATCGGAGTTTTTCCTCCACACTGAAGGGTTGAAGGTCTGGGAGGCTTTGGTGCAAAGCCAAGTCGGGTTCAACGGGTTCCGGAGAAGGTTCCGGAGAAGGTTGCAGAGAAGGTTCCGGAGAAGCTCGTTTTTCTTCTTTTTGTTTTCATGCATGTGCACACGGCATACATGGATGTCATTAGAGCAATTGTGCTTTTCTGAATCTTTCTTGAGATTTGTTTTGACCATTTAACTTGCAGTTTTGCCTCGATGTTGTGTTTTGGAAAGATTTGTAAAAATAAAACGTTGCGGCTGTTGGGGATACCACCGAAGCTTATTTCTTTCCTTCGCTGCCAATATTTTTCGGAGATATCCATAAAGTTCATTTAAAAAAAACGATTTTGTCAACCCCAAAATCTTTTGAAAGTATCCACAAAAGCATGCTGTTTCTGAAGTGACACTGACATGATTTTCAGGTCTATTTTGAGGCCACGTGGTCGATCCGAAAGGCGAAATGGCACTACCCCGAAATTTGATGGTTGACGATCCTTTTCCATGAAAAAGAAGGGTTATTTGGGTGTTATTTGGGTGTTATTTGGGTGTATCCATCATTTTCATGTCCACGGCTACTGCCATTTCGTTTTGGACCACGTGGGGGTCCCCCTTTGAGAGCCAGATCGATCCAAGCCTCGTGGCGCCGAGGTTGCAAAGTCTATGGCCCCGTGGTGTCGCAGGTTTGCTCCGCGGCAGAGTATTTCTCTGGATTGACCAATGAAGCCGTGGGGGTGACTCAGGGCTACAGAGGGCTGCGATGCCAAAAAATCAGGGATCCCGGATCCAGATCAGGCTGCAGGGGATGAAAGTGGTGTTTTTTCACGTTTTTTTTTGGCAAAATGAGAGACTGCTGAGGCTGAACGGCAGCGTGCCTTTGTGGACAATCTCGGACGGCATGGGCTCCTAGTCCCAGCTGATGGATGCAGTTGGTCCATATTCTGGGATAAGTACAACGACCTCACGTCGCGACATCACTAGAAATGATGGTCAGTAAGGGCAACTATATATCCCGAAATGGTTTGAATTGCTATGACTTACCGATATTATCCCATTATTATCCCATATTTACATGCTAAAGTCAGTGGAAGGTCCAGTGTTTTGAGTCCTGCAGATAAACATCCTCCAAGGGGAACAGGTCAGACACTCTGAGTTCGCAACAGCGCTCAGGAGTTGGATTGCAGCAGCCGAATCTTTGAAGGGGCCTCAGATGTGGATGCTGGAAAATGATGGAACATGATGGAACATGATGGAAAATGATGGAAAATGATGGAAATCGAGGATGTCGATAGCATTTCCATTGGTAGACCAGAGCAACTGATGGGTTGAAACTTGCTTCTCATGGCATCGCCGTGGTGATTTCAGAACTGGAAAATATGGGGATGCATCAAAACCTAGAAAAAATAGCTTCTGTACCCTCCGGCAATCAAACATGGCTAGCTGGAGATCGCCTATTATTGGGGATTTTTCCAGCTGTAAACTGCCATTGAGTTGGAGGTTTTTCCCAGCCACCTAGCCACCTTTGACACCAGAGGGTATCAGCTGTTGGAGTCGTCCTCGGCGCAGGCCCATCACTGCGCCTTTCCTGGCTTCGGCGCACTACTGTGCGGGCGACCGGAAGAGGTGACATGTCTTGGGGGCATGGCCGTTTGATGTTTTAAAAACATAGGAAAACCATAGGAAAGTGGTGAGTTATAAGTTGACGCACAGTTCACCCCAGGGTCATTGTTAGGTCGATTAGGGGGACATAACTATACGTATTTCGGACGGCTGTTCGCTTTCCCCCCGTTTTCCCCGGCGAGCCCAGATTTTCCCACGGATTGGGCCGGGTCCAGTCCGTATGTGACGGAATCACTTTGAACTATATTATACGTAGTATTCATGGGGTCTAAGTCTAAACCAACAAACATACTTGGGGTGTTTCACCTCGTTGATGTGGCAGTGTTTGAAAATTGCTGTTATACCACCATTGCCATCACAGAATAGGGAAACGGATGATTTGGGGCGGAAACTTTCATTCTTGGGATATTTATCACGGGGTGACACTAGGGTGAAACTGGGGTGAAACTGGCAACCACTCAGGAAATTCTCCATTTGGGGCCATAGCCATGTCGTTTCCTGCTGGGCGGAGCCGCAGGTGCAACGCCATGCGCTGGTAATTTGTTACATAGCTAAGCATAGCTATATCCATTGATATCGATTTTCATGATTCTTCCCATCTTTTCTACCCTCTGGTAAACTAACTTAGCTTTTGAAAATGGTGATTTGAATCGTGGATTTACCGAGTAATAGAATTGTGATTTTCCATAGCTATGTAACAGTTTACCAGAGGGTACATGGAGATCTTTTTCTATGTCTCCACAGCTGCAGGTCTCAATGGATTGCCCAGAAGGTGGAACCCGAAGAGAGCCGTGGTCGAGTGGTGTTATTGAGACACCCTGGGCTTAGGGCCCGCTGGCCTAGTTAGAAGCTGGTTTGGAGTACCCCATCTAACCATATATCCAACAGAAATCCAACATAAATCCACCAGAAATCGAACCGAACCTCCGATTCTTCGGGGTCTTTTCGTCTGAAATTCATGTTGGATCCCATGGATCCCAGCATTTTGCTCAAGTGGTCCGGTAAAAGGATCAACATCTGACGAGCGCAGTGCAAAACCTGTACTTGGGGAGGTGGGGGCTGAAAATTTCTTGGATGACTGCAGTGATGTTGTTCCCACTCTGTGTAGACACCACAAAAAATGGCTTGTGACTACAAAAATGCAGTGACTCATGGTATGTATTTGCGGATGATTCAGAGATTTCGTGCAGTCCAGACGTCCAGAGTCCGAATTGTGTTCTTGGATTGGGTTCTCATTTGGATTCAGATTTCTCACTTGTGCCCACACAAGTGGATTCTATAAATTGGTCATAAGATGATCTAATCACCTGGAAACAATATATGCTTGCTGAGATTCCGTGTCGGTGTCAGTGGAATCAAGTGGAACATCGCAACGAGTCGAGGGCGAGTTGGGACGGTTTTGGATGGTTTTTCGTATGGTTTTTCATAAATGTCATGGGTAAATTTCATGGGTTATCATGGTTTATCATGGTAAATATCATGGAATCATGGGCAAACTAAATCATGGTTAATAAATTGATGTTTTTTTTGACCCATGATATTCATACAGTGCATGGTTTATCATGGTTTAATGGTCCAGACCCCGAGAATGCTGTTGCACGCAAAATCCACATTTTGGTGGCTTACCCCGGACCTGACCGAGACGGAAAAGAGAGCAAGATCCACAGAGGAAAGTAGTTAATCCATCATAAATCCATCTACCCTCTGGCAATGTAACATATAGAAAATGGAGGGCTATTTATTTATTTTTTTTTTCGCGGCAGGTTTTGGATTTTTATTCTGCTTTTTCTCCTTTTCTGCTTCTTTGCTTCCCTGCTTTTCTGTTTTTCTGCTTTTGCTGCTTCTCTGCTTGTCTACTTCTCTGCTTTTCTGCTTCTCTCTGCTTTTCTGCTTTTTGCTTTTCCTGCTTTTTGCTTTTCCTGCTTCTCTGCTTTTCATGCTTATCTGCTTTACCTGCTTCTTTTCTCTTCTGCTTCTTTGCTTTCCCTTCTTCTCTGCTTTTCTGCTTCTGTGCATTTCTACTTCTACTATTCTGCTTTTTCTGTTCTTCAGTCATGTGTTTTTGCTGCTCTACTTCCTGCTCCTCTGCTTCTCTGCTTCCTGTCTTTACTGCCTCTTTGTTTTTTTTTAATTTTCTTTTGCTTGATTGTCTCCTGTTTGTATCCTAAATGAAACCCTAAAGACCCTAGGTGAAACCCAAAGAAACCCTAAAGAAATCCTAGTAAGAACTCCTGATAAGAAACCTCTACATGAACCCTAAATGAACCCTAAAGAAACCATAAATTAATCCTTTAGAACCATAAATGAAACCCTAATAAACTTTGAATGAAACCCTAAATGGCATCCTAAAGAAACTCTAGCAACACCCTAAAAAACCCTGAGCGAAACCCTAAATGAAACGCTAAAATGAAACCCTAAAGAAGCCCTAAATGAAACCCTAAAGAAGCCCTAAATGAAGCCCTAAATGAACCCTAAAGAAACCCAAAATGAAACCCTAAAGAAGCCCTAGAGAAACCCACATGAACGTTTGGAAATCCTGATAAAAAATCCTGATAAGAAACGCTACATTAAACCGTAAATGAAACCCTAAATGAAACCCACATGAACGTTTGGAAATCCTGATAAGAAATCCTGATAAGAAACCCTTAAATGAAACCCTAAATGAAACTCTAAAGAAACCCTAAACCTAAAGAAACCTTAAATGAAAGCCTAAATGAAACCTTAAATGAAACCCTAAAGAATCCCTAAAGAAACCCCACATGAAACCCTAATTGAGACCCTAAATGAAATCCTAATGAAACCCTAAATGAAACCCTAAATGAAAGCCTAAAGAAACTCTCAAGAAAAGCGTTTGAAGTACCAAAATGTAGCAAATACCATGCAAATGATAGGTTGAAGTGCCAACACGTGGCAAATACCATGCAAATGGAAGGCGAACATGGCCAAATGTAGCACATGCCATGCAAAATGGAAAGTAACTATGCCAAAATGTAGCAAATACCATGCAAAATGCAAAGTAACTGTCAAAGGGAACACAGTCTTAGCGCACAATTCATATGCGTCATGTAAATAGCAAGTGCATGGGATGCCATGATGGCTCAAGCGCCCATTGCAAGGAAAACAATCGCGTGCCGTGCTTCATGCTTTGAAGGGTCACGACTACAACCAGCATTGCAGGTACTTCCAACTAAACGGTATCCAGAACAAGGATTCATTTGTTCACAGGTTATCAGCCGTAGGGCTCACTTCTCCCGCCGGGAGAGTGGTACCTGCGTGCTGGTAGCCGGGCCTTCTGAGCAATTGATTGAGGACGCAAAGGACCAATCAGCTCATCATCGCAAAGATGCAAGGCGGTAGCGGAGATTCGCGCACCACGCAGTTTACCTTCAATGAGAACACTGCTATGCCGGTCGAGGAGGTCAATCAATCTTCCCCTGGCGACACGGCAGACAGTGGTGGTATACGCTCTACCCGAACTACACAGTCCGGATGGCAAGTCACGTCAACCAGACGAAGAATATCCACCCAAAGTACACCAAGGTCTTCTCGAAACAGTGCTCGAAGTGATGTTGTCCGCCAAGGGCATCGACCATCTCGAGGACGAACTACTCCAAGGGACAGATCCACCAGGGCCGTAACCGACCGAATTGGTGAGAGGACCGGGGATAGTCGTGTTAAGAGGAGATCAACGGATACTTCTGTGGCTAGTGAACCTATTGCCATGATAGAAGAACTACGGGCACAATGTCAATCCCTACGTAGTCAGTTGAACCAAATGGAAGCATATGCCGCATCTAGAGATCAACTGATTCATGACATCGAGATCAGATTCACCGAGTATCTTCGGGAACACAACCAAAATGTATTTGATGAAGTCAATGCACTCAATCATAGATTGTCACGTTCCGCGAATGAGGTTGCAGAATATCAAGCAGAACTAATGGTAGCATCTCAGGAAGACGAAGGTGCAACAATACGCATCCAAGACCTTGAACGCCGAGGTGCCCTAATGGAACATGGTGCACGACGGATTCATCAACGTGGTATGGAGATCCAGGAGGAGTACAAGGGTGAAGTACATCACCTTCAAGGACTATTGGGTAATACGGAGGCAAGACTGCAACAACTTCATCAAACCAATGTCTTAACCACCGATATTGCCAATCGACTATACAACGAAGGTCAAGAAATGCAAACAGATTTCCAGAACTCAATCATGGAATATCGTAATCGATCCGAAATGGCATCCTTCTCTAGCAATCAACTTGAAGTGATTAGCCAACAACAATCAATTGCAGTTCATGAACTATCTGAACGGAATCAGCTATTGAGTGAAGCTTTGGTTCAGTCTCGTAAACAGGCCGAGCTGTATGAAGGCAGTATTGACGAGATCACTAGAGAATCTAGGAAGAAGGTTTTCGAGGCAAATCAGGCCAAATTGGAAAGTGATCTGAAGCATCGAAACACTGAACATGATACTGTCAGAAGAATTGCATCATACAGGAACCAAGAGGCCGAAGCGATATCACACCTGAGGCTTGAATCACAGGCTAGTGCGAACTCGATCGCAAGGGCTGAGCATTATGAAGAGCTCTACACCAACGAGCAGGAGATGAACTGCGAATTAAAGGATGAGATCAAGTTGCAGAACACGAAGCTGCGAAGATCGTTGACTCAGGGTACTACGACCGACGGTCGTGGCCCCGATGAGATGCTTGTTGAAGATCTACGTAATCAAGCCAAAATTGCTCAAATCAGGGTTCAGGATCTAGATCATGAAATTCATGAATGTTTACAAGAGAACTTGTTGTTGAAAGAAAGATTGGCTGAAGTTGCGGATGTAGGGACGCCGTCCCTCACCAATGCTGAGGTCCGAACTCTAAGATCTGAACTAGAGAGTGAGCGCAAAATGAAATTGGCCAGTGGTGTTCAACAATATGAGAGATCATGCATGTTCATGGGGGAAATCCAGGATAGGGATGAAAAGATTGGTATCAAGAATTCTGAGATTGTTGACATGAAACGTCACTTAGATGAACTGAGAAAGAGTCTCAAGGATTCTGAAACATCTATGGCTAGGGTCAGTCATGAAACACTTCCCTATTCGGCAGGCATTCCCAACTACGATCTCGCATCAAGACTAGTCATCGACAAACTGGAGAATGACGTGAGTGAGGCGAACTGTGAAAACGCTATTCTGAAATCTTGGGTTTCGCAGATCGACAAGGAGTTGACCTATGAGACAAATATGGCTCATTCCTATCAAGGGCATGCTGTACCTTCTCAACAACAACAACCTTCTCAATCAAACAAAAGAATCGCTGATCTGCTGAAAGAGGTTGACAACAAGATCGCTGACGGAACTGAGAGGGACTATTACAAGCCACCGAGTGGATGGGGCGGTCCGCCTGACCCTGATGGACCTCCGGACCCTTTTGGGCCTAACGGTCCAGGACCACCTCCTGAACCTCCAGGTTTGCCTTCAGTTCGAGGATCACAACGTGACTCAGCAGATGATGTCTCCACAGCGGCTTACACTGCAGAAGAAGTGCCGAGAATGTCAAGAAGAGAGGCTGACAAAGTCTATGTTAGCCCATGGCCGAAGCAACAGAATCTTGGGGTTTGGCAATCAGATCTCATCAAGAGTGTTGTTCTTTCGGCAAATGATGGGGATAAAGCCGCATGGGAAGCATGGCTACAGCCGGCTATTCGACCGAATCCTGACATCGAGCTATTGAATGACAGTGGAGGGCAACGGTATCAGTCCATCGACGCAAAGTTGTCAATTGCATTGTCAAACGTGATTGCCCAAGCCGGCGATGTTGCTCGTCATGTAGCGATCAAATTGAGATTGAGAACACAAAGTCATAGTCGAAGAGGAACCTATGTCATGGGACGGGAAATCTTGGCTATGATCCTGGAGCACTTCAGAACCCCAGGCCAACGAGAAACAGCCTTCACCATGGAGCACATCGTATCGATGAAATATCTCGGTGACTCAAACCTGGAAGTGTTCTACGAGAAATGGATGGAGATGGTATCAAACATGATG